GTTCTGTCAATCACACACTATAGTAATGCAGTATGCGGGCACTAGCAGCTGTGATTTAAGTCAACAAACTATGGTCAAACAAATCAAGGCTTAAACGATATGTCGATATGTCGACTGATTGGGCTTGATAGCTAAGATAGAAAAGATTATCACCCGAGGGCCTGGAGAACTGCTACCAGCTGGGAGCAGAAAGTGATAGATTAGTAGAGATCTTATGGGGTCCCCTACAAATACCATTAGCAATCAGAAATTCAGCAGGGGAAGCATTCTCTGGTTCAGTGATAGCTTTTTGTCCACTTGAATTTCTGCCTGCTGAGCAGTTGCTAGAGGGTCCCTGCCAGCAAAACAGCACAGAGAACATCCCATGTACATAAAAATGGCTAGTGTCTTTGTGGATATAAGGGGAGGGAACAACCCTATTATCTGTCTTTGTCAATTGGTTATTTATTCAGCAAGCCTTCACTTGTCCTATTACACAAGGTCTAACTTCCTCATTCCACAGTCCTGGGGACACAAAATCAAAGCTTACTGTAGGATAGAAAATTCGAAATCCTCCCATGTAGTTATTTCTACATATTCCAAGTCACTCTGCTGGCTGTTAATGAATTATTGGAACTGTAGTGCAAGCCACCTGGGAGTGAGCAAAACTTTCTTGAATTTTTTAAAAAGCAGGCTTATGAATTTCTTGGCTGCAATTGACAAGGTCATCTGGATGTTACTACTACAGATAATTCTATTCTGGACACAATACACAACTCCAACACCACTATGCTTGTTCCCTGGCAAAAGGATTGCCTTGCGTGGCTCTGGGTTACTAGGAGCCTAGCTGAAAATATAAATACTAATTGAAATTATTATGTTGTTGTTATTTTAAACAGTTGCTTTATTTATGCAGATTTTGGCTAATCATTCACAGCAGAAAGATTTTCTCCCTCCCTCTTTCGTTATACTAGAATCCGACATCATCAGATGAAGCCAACCGGTGGGACGTTTTAGACAGACAGAAGGAGCTACTTGTTCAGACAGTGCACAGCTCAACAACAGGATTTGTGACTAAGAGCTGCCGTGGGCCTAAGACGCAACACCCATGAACCATAAACTAGCCAACCCCATTGGAGTCCAGTCTTTTGACAGGATACTGTACAAACCTGGTATACAGTTCAGGGTCTCACCTAAACCCAGAGAATGGAACAAATGCAATTACCATGGTTAGCTAGCCTTGGATAAGTTTGTCCTGAAAATACACTTCATAATTAGATAACGTTCAAAGCTGAAATGGGCAAATCAAAGAAAGAAGAAGGCTATCAACATGACTATCGGTTTCAGGAACTAGTGTCAGGAGTGGCATATGGGGGGTGGTGTTGGTGCTGGGTGGGTTCTGCTGAATTTTGGGGTGGGGGAACATGCAAGTCAGCAGGGCTGGGGGTCAGTGGGGCAGCTCTAGGGCAGAGTCAGCGAGAGCCTGCTGTTCTGCAGGATGGGACTCGCAACAAATTCTGTGAACAATTCTGGCAGGCTTGCAAAAGAGAACGTAGCAGAAAAAATGCAGGGCCAACTAAAACCTTGAAAATGACTTTTCCACCCTCCAGTTGCTGTTTTTTTACGCAACTTGAAAACATTTCTCAAATCCTTCCTCCAGACCCACCCGAGGATATGTTACTTTCAAGGGGTATTATTATCCAGTTGGTATCTGCAACAATCCTGCTGAAGTCTCCATGCACCCTTGACCAAGGTAGTAATTTGGGGCCTCTTCTTCCTTTACGGTCTCCGTCAAAATGAGAACGGGCAAATAATCCCTGTGTTCCCTTTGAACACATCATATTGGCCTTAGCTCGTCCCCAGGCCCAAATTTCAGCACTCTTGCAGCAAACTGGTATCTGTATTTTAGGAAGAGGACAGGAAAGATATGTCACAAGCTAGTAATTCATTTTTTTTATTAAGCAGGCAGAACAAGAACAAATAAGAAGCCTAACACTTATTCTGGCAAAATGATGTATTAATACTGTAAAAGTTGATTACACTAAGAAACTCTCATGAAGAAAGGCTGTTGGAAACACCTGGGTTTTCCAGAATATAGCCTGAAGCTAGAGATGATTGATTGATTTTGATTTATTATGTGCCATCAAGTCGTTTTCAACCCCTAGCAACCACATCGACAGATTTTCTCCATGACGATCTATCTCTAACCTGTTCTTTCAAGTCTCCCAACAGTGCACTCATCACCACTGCAACTGAGTCCATCCACCTCGCTGCTGGTCCTCCTCTTCTTCTCTTTCCTTCCATCTTTTCCAGCATGAGAGCCTTCTCCAGAGACCTGGGTCTTTGCAGAATATGTCCAATGTAGGATAATTTGAGCCTGGTCATTTGTGCCTCGAGTGAGAACTCAGGTTTGATTTGTTCGATGATCCATCAGTTTGTTTTCTTGGCTGTCCGCAGTATTTTCAGGAGTCTTCTCCAAAGTTCAAAGGTGTCAATACTCTTCCTATTCTGCTTCTTCAAAGTCCAACTTTCGCTTCCATAGAATGTCACAGGGAATACCATGGCTTGAACAATTCTGATCTTTGTAGGTAGAGACACATCACGGCATTTGAATATCTCCTCCAAGGCCTTCATGGCTGCTTTACCAAGTGCTAGTCTGTGGCAAATGTCTTGACTGCTTCTTCCTTTACTGGCGATGGTTGATCCTAAAAGCAGAAGCTATCCATCACCTCAATATCTTCATTGTCAGTTCTAAGGCTGGTTGTTGTGACTGTTGTCATTAGTATGGTCTTCTTTATATTTAATTTTAGTCCCATTTGAAGCTAGAGATGGGTAGAAGATTAATCAGGAGCAGTTTGGATGTTGGATCAACTCCTAAAAGTCCTATCCAATAGAGCCGTGCTGATTAGGAGTTCTGCGTATTGAAGATCAGGGCATTTGGAAGGTACAAGGTTGGGGGAAGTCTGCTGTATTAATAGTACAGGTAGTCCTCACTTAACAACCATTCATTTAGCAACCATTCAAAGTTACGACAGCGCTAAATGAAGTGACTTACGACCAATGCCCAAAGTTACCACCATTGTAGCTCCCCTGTGGTCACGTGATTGCGATCCGGGCACTTGGCAACCAGCTTGCACTTAACAATGGTTGCAGCATCCCAGGGTCATGTGATTGTCATTTGCAACCTTCCCAGCCGGCTTCCAGCAAGCAAAATCAATGGGGAACCATGTGATTCACTTAACAATCCCACTGTGATTCGCTTAATAACCGCCACAAAAAAGGTTGTAAAAATCAGGTCTGGTCATGTGATGATTCATTTAACAACCACATCACTTAGTGAACTAAATTCCAGTCCCTACTGTGGTTGTTAAGTGAAGACTACCTGTAGTTGGTGAGAGTGTCTTACTTCTCATTGTTTGATAATAGAAATGATTAAGGCTTTCTTCTTATAAATTCAATTGCTAAATAAGAGAAGCTGTTAAAATCAGAAGGGAGTGAGGGAGAGACTCTGGGCCTGGTTGTGGTACTGTTTACATTCTTTGGCTGAGCATCTGGTCAGAGGTGCTCTGCTCCTTCCGCTTCAACAGGTGCTTTGGCATCTAATTCTTATTGATGGACCTCAGGTTTTTAGCTATAAACCAGTCAGTCCTGTGAGCCTGAAATCTGCCACCCTTGACCGGGAGTGTTGCAAAACCCTGTGCAACCAGTTAAACCAGGGAATCTATTCCATTAGAGAAAAGGGGAACAAGCAATGGCTGGTTCTTATTTTACTACCTGCCAGTCTGGGGGTGAAAACATCTCTTGTGTTTACAACTTCAGATGCCAAGACATTTTTATTCCCAACTCCTAGTTATAATCCCTCTTTTCTGGACCAGAGCATCTGAATTCTTTGTCTCACAGTAACTGGCAGAATGATTGGAACGAAGACCTTCTGCCTCCGCATTGGGAACTCTGTTGCCCCAAATGTCTTGGGGACAGTTATTACAATTTGCGCAATACTGCTGAAACCATGCCAGCTGTACTTCCATGACACAGAATCAATCAACTGGGAATTTAAAGAAGCCAAAAGGACCAACTAGTCCAAGCCTTTGCAATATGCAGGGAAAAAATTAAACCGTCCATGAGGGGTGGTCGTCCAGCCTCTTCTTAAAAACAGCCAGAGATGGTGAACCCACAACCTCTGCAGGGACACTGCCCCACTGTTGTACAGATCTTCCAGTCAAGCATGTTTTCCTTATATTTACATGAAATCTAGGTAACTGAAACTTGTACCCATTACTTCTGTACCTAGTTTCTGTGGCATACTTATCTATGAATGGAAGCATTGTTAACTCAATTAACCCAATTTCCTGGGTCTATCTGACACACTAAACCTTATAATAAGCAGGGTGGTGCCGTGTTTTGGAGCTGGTTCCAGAAGGGTGCTTCAGAGTATCCAGAGATGCAAACCTAAGCATCTGCTTGCAACTGTTTAAAGCAACTGCATCTTTCTTCAGGATTCCCCAGTCCCAAGAAAAGATACAGCTGCTTTAAAGAGTTGCAGAATGGTGTTATGTTTGTAAATGTATATGGTTCAAAGCCCTTTGGGGGACTGAATCTGAAGCGCTGCACAATTCTAACGTTAACTACAACTATCTTCACGCCATGCATTAGATTAAAATATGATTGACTAGTCTGTGTTTTAGTGTACTGTGTCCACATAGCTACTTTAGGAGTTGTAGTTCAACACAGCTGGAGGCCACTGGGTTTGGAGAGGCTGTTCTTAATCCACTGACTGGTTCACTAATAGCACGATTTGTTTTTGGCTTAAGGACAATATGTAACTCTGCCCTTATGGATCAGTATGGTGTATAAACAAATTCACCAATTTAGGATTAACACCCCCACCCGTCTGATCCTAACATATGAATTGGCAAATGGACTATCTCCCCAACAGGGGGGAAAATGCAACAAAATTCAAATTGGTGTTTTAATTAAACTGCAAATTGAAAATAAATTGACATTCTAAAAAACAGAAACATGGTGGATTTGTGGCTAGCTTTGCGTGTTACAGAAACCGAGACACGGTGGTTCGTAAACCACGTGTTGTGCGCACCCAGCCAATTATGGTGTATTCAATAAACCATAGTTAAGCCAATGATTGGCAGCATAACACAGCTGGTCTGTTGTGATCTGCAGGGGCTCCTGAGGAACTGTTCTTGTTCAGCCTTCCTGACAGAAGAACTTTAGCAGTGGCGAGCCTGAGATGTTGCACATACCAAGTCCGTCCTCCACTGAACGCTCTGGCATTCCTCTTTTGCCACCACAGAGACTAAAAGCTCAGTGTTCAAAGGCTGTGGCAGACCATCTTGCATCAAGGGCTCAAGGCAAATGCGTGTGACCTTTCCTTTCTGTTTTGTTTATTCGCACCATTTAGGCAAGTGGGATGTGACACTGTCAGCTACTCCTGTCTCCCACATATCTGATACTCCTGAGTCAGGTGTTACTCATTTCAGTTGGGAAGTTCGCCTCTACCATTTGCATGAAGCCAGTTCCAGTGTCCTACCGTATTTATTTTTCCTTCTCTTCCTGAAGGGACCGGAAGAAAGGCAGGAACCCCACCAGCCCTCAGCACCAGCTCAGGACCACCAACTCCCGTATGCCAAGCTTCCCAAAAGGTGGGTGACTTAAGTTTGTAACCGTCCTCATGATAACTTAGGTTACTTGCAAGTTGCCTTGAAAGGGTTTTTACCCTCAAAAGAGGGTTGTAAATAATTGTTAATAATAACTGACACACTGTTTTCCTCCAAAGCTTTTTGATCGCCCACCTTTATCAGTAAAACCATTTTCAGCATGCACTCCCCAATACATGTTTATTTATCAATCATGATATACATGTATTACTGCACTAATATTATTTACATTGTAAAACAGACACCCCCCCCATCTATTACCTGTTATATATTTTGTGCATTAAATATTAGTATAGCTTAAGCTCTTTCTTATTTATTTTTTATCTAAAACATGCTCCCGTATATATTTGTGTGTTACATTTGGTGCATTCTGTACAGTCAGGGTCAATTCTTAGCAACTCCATAGATAGTTTAATTTCTTTCTTATTTATTTTTTATCTACAATAAATATAAACAGGCATTCTAATATTTTCCCCGCGTCCCAGTGTATGTGTGTAAAGACACCATTTTAAACAGTTCATGGGAACTAATGGCAAAGATAAATTTTGCCTGTGGGCAGCTCTTCGTCTATAACTCAGCTAGGTAAATTTTCAGCTTCTAGCTTTTACTCCCTTTTCCAGCAGATGCAGATGTGCGATTTTGAGAGCTACACAAAAGGCAGAACCTCAGTAGATCAATCTGTTATTTTTCTGCTATGCAGGAGAAAACGGGCACCCCAAGCAGTAGCACAGGTAGAGCTGGAACGGGCAGGCACTCCTGAGACCTGCAGGCCAGGGTTCCAGCAAATAACGCCTTAAAAGAAGGACCTTGGGATCAGCACCTTGGCAGGTCTCACTCACCCACCATCATCTGGTTTCATTTCTTTATATCTGGGGCTTGTGGACAGATTTTAGAGTCAGGCAGGTGCATGACTAAAGCTGCACATTTTATTATTTTGTAAGCAAGCCCGTTGCAAATATGGATCTCCATGTTATCAATTGCTACCTGTTTTCATTGTGATTGTAAATGCATTATGGTAGATACTGATTTTATTCCTTTGGTGTAATTTGAACCGCTGCTTAGTTCTTGGTTGTTATTATTTTTTAATCGTGGTTGGACTATGCACAGAGTAGTGGGAGCGTTATAAATGAAATATTTGCTAGCGTGCACACAGATATAGCAGGTGTCTGTGCCCATTGCTTTAAAATAAGGGGAAGAAAGGCCTTTTAGGGCCCTGAAAGAAGGGGGGCAGCAGGTTCCTTTAATCCCCCCACGTTTCTTCTTACTGCACCTCTCAATGTCATCTTTAATGCAAGTCTGTGATAATGGGGGGGGGGGAGACCCGCAATTCAGAGATGACTCTTGGGATTACATTTTAGCTGTTCCGTTTTACTGCTCTGACGGGTCCAGGGGCTTCCATTCATCCGGTCATTTTAGATACTGGGCCCACCGTTTGTGTGGGGCTGGGCTGCGGGCAGACCCCCCCTTTCCAAAAAGCCCCGTCAGGTTAGCCTAATCGCGGGGGGGAGGCTGGGAGGAAGAGCGGCGCTCTGCAGCTGAACTCACCTCCGTGTCCCCC